TCAGATGTGTCAACTCCGTCAGTTGAATATTTTGATAATATTTCATTATGATATTTTATATTTGTTGTGGAATTGTTGGTCACATGTGAAAGTGTAATCTGTCTGCTAACACGAGAATGTGTTTTGAAATGTTAAAAACATCTTGAATGCTGTAAAGATAAAGCTGAAATTATATTACACAGTCCAAAGTAAAAAAAAAAAAAGAGAAAAGTTGGAAGGTTGAATCAAAGCATAGCTCAGTAGCTTAGTACATATAAGATACATTTATGTATCTTATATGTACGAGGCTAAGCTACTGAGCTATACTTTGATACAACCTCCCAACTTTTCTCTTTTTTATAAATGTTTTTTCAGAATATTAGAATGATTTCTGAAGGATCATGTGACTGGAGTAATGATGCTAAAAATTCAGCTTTGAAATCACAGGAATAAATTATAAATCTGACTTGTGTTGCAGCCTGGAATTAATTCATTTCTGGCAATATTGTCAGCTTGATTGCAAAGACACTATTGGAAGAGAGCTGAACTGAGCTGGACGATAACATCACTGAATCAAAAATTAACTGACTTTAACGGAAAAATTTAATGTTTACTGTAGTCCTCCTGCATTATAGACACACTATTTTCCTGTTTAACAAGCTGTTTCCTGTTTTAAAGCTGCGTTGACACATTCTGTATTAGTGTTGTCAAAAGTACTGACCACAATACCATTCGGTACTGAAATTTTAAAAACGTCCATTTCCCGCTAACATTTGAGCGCTGTTGAGCAGATGATCATTGTAGCCAATCACAGTCATATCTGTTGAGTGTGTGAACAATGGATGTTTTTAAAATTTCAGTACTGAATGGTATTGGTATGGTCGGTGCTTTTGACAACACTAATCTGTATTGTATAATGCGCTATGTAAATAAAGGTGACTTGACTTGAATTGACAGTCTAATGGACCCAGTTGTGGTCATAACAAACTTTTGATCAAATGTGTACTACGCTTTTCCTTTATAGGCCAGCACCTTTCAAAGACAATTAAACACCGCTTCAACAAGCAATCAACAAGTACATCACTGAGACAAAACACTCGCATCCCTCAAAGTAAATAAAAAGCAAACTAAGTCCAATTTTGGTGCCATCATGCTCAATTTTGAACTGTATGTGCTGAATTAAGCACTTACCAGTCCAGGTACTGAGGTTGTGAGCTGAGCGGAGGCACAAGAAATACAGGCTCAGAGGAAGTAACAACAGCAGCCCCCTACAAGAGTGTAACAAAAATTAAATGATTCAAGGGTCACCTCAGGTCACCGATTTCAAAACAAGTAAATTGCAGACAGACAAAGCATGTAACAGGACTGAACTTAATAACTTATGCAAATCGCCTAAATAATTTTACCAGTTCACTAGGCTCATCCTCCGAGGTCTCTCTGTTTCCTTGGAAACATCTTAAGCCAACTGTCCTTCTGTCTGCTTTAGACTCCACTTCCTCCTCTTCATTAGGACATTGTTCCGATTGTGACTACAAGAAGACAAGACAGAAGACATTAAGCAGAGAGTGCTGTGCATGCTGAATCTTAATCTTAATCTACAATACATATATGATCACAGTGACTGTCCAACCTGTTCCTACACTAACAAGATGATATGACACTTACCTTGCCTGGAACAATTTCTCCTTTGTCCTTTTCAGCCTGTCCATCTGTTCCCATCTACACATAGCAGACAACACTGTTGTTAATAAATAACCTAGATCTGAAACATCAGCTCTGGGCCATCATAAAGCTTCACCCGTTATGATAACCATACCTGAGAGATGGCAGAAAACTACTTCTGTATTGAATCTCTGCCTTTAACTCGAAGAGCACTCAGGGGAACTTGATTGCTCGAGTAAACTGATGAGAAAGCTTGATCTGTATTGACATTCAACACTGTGCCTTCGATTCTTGACCCAGTGACAGCACTGATCGTGTGCAGTGAACGAAACTGATGTAAGATGATGCTAGAGACGATGCTATCTAGTACGTGTGCTCCACTGCAGTGTTCGCCTATGTGCTCACTTGTTATCTGTCATTTAATAACCACCAATACTATACTGCACGTCTCATTCTGAATGCACTGAGTATTACTAGCTGACTTTCTCATCTGTGCTTCATTTTAAGCAACCTTCTTGCAATAATTTATAGCCTACAATTTGTCGCCCAGAGGGGTTAGCTGGCTAGCTAAGTGAGACAAGCTATGAGAGCCGTTTACCTTCATAGTGCGGAGATGAGCCGGCTGATGAATCCCAAAGCTGATGAGCTGCTAAAACCCGCCACAGTGTTTTTGTTCACTTTAAAACGAGGCACGAAACATTTTTCTTTAAGGAACACAATAAGAGGCCCTCCCATCCGATTCCGACATTTTGCTTCCCCTTCTGTGAAACTGCCGGCATGGGCTTATGGGAAATGATGTTTTTCATCAAAGACTATTTCTGTGGCGGTGACGATGCAAATCAGACGTGAATGGGAATTTCTTTGTAATTAATATATATATATATAATAATTTAGGGTTAAATGATCAAATTGCATTAGCATTTATATTAATTAATAAATGTCATGTACTTGATTTTTTGTTGGTCTAATATATGGTGATTGTTTGAGCCTGATACTCAAGTGATTTTGAAATTGTGCTATTTAGTACTATTATTAGTTTAATAATACAGTATTTGTTTTTAAATTGGTCTTTAAATGTAACCGAATAATGACTAGGTTTTTGTTTGGCACTTTCATGATGGTTAATTTTTCATAATAAAAAGTTTTAACCGTTCACATTATTAAGTTCACAAACTATCTTGAAAACATTTTGCTTTGTGTCCTTTTTTTGTCATAAACATTTGTATTGTTTTCAATAATGCTTTCATTTTTTATGCACTTTTATGCACTATGAATTAGCCTACGTTGCATTGAAGGTATAGGCCTATACATTTTTATCAGTTCATGCATTCCCGGGGAATCAAACCCATCTCCTTGGTGTTGCTATAACATCCTACCCTTTGTATTGTGCAACACAAACAAAAACAGTCAGATTTCTTTTTTAATATATGCAAACATTTTAATCATAAACATGCCCACTGTGTAACATTTCGAGTGATCCTTCATTCGCTGCTGTTCATAATTGGGTTGGTATCATCCAAATAGGCCTACCTTATCCCAGACCTGCAGTACTTAAATAATGCAAGTTATTTACTCAGGTGAAGTGCATGCAGCAGACTCTCTATGTGTTACAGTAATTCTCCAGGTCGTAATAGTCACAGTAGAAATGACAGCACTGCTCTACAATGCCTCTCTTTGCAACAGTGCTTCTGGCAGTCCCTCTCTCTCCACTCTGAGCAGCTGCTCCAGTCTGCCGCAGGAAGGGGACACTGTTCCTTATCATGACGCCTGTTGAAAGACGAGCAGTGTTACAAATTAATTAATTATATGATATAATGATATTAAATTAATTAATCAACCAGTTTTCCATTTTCTACACAACGCATATGGAAAGACCTGAATTAACTTCTGACAAATATCATAGGCTACTCTGTTACACTAAAGAGATGACATTTAATGACATTTTTAGGTGGTGGTGGGGGGGGGGTATAGATGAAAATGCATTAAATAAATATGGTATGTTTTAAAAACATTACTCAAAATGTTTTTAGATTACTCTGAAAAAAATGGTGATAGTGATAGTTCATGTTATCATTTATTTTTCTTCTCTCTTGAATTATATAGCTTCTTAACCTCTTAAAAACACACATTGATATACAAATTTGTGATAGGCCTACTGAATGTTTTTTTTTTTACCCAATAACTTTAGTTTGCATCGAATGGGTTCTCTTAATGCTTGTTACGCAAAACAATTTTGACAAAAAATGGACAGACAGTAGGCTGTCACTTACTGTAAAGTTGACTGAATGCATCGCACAGAAATGCAATTGTAACCAGACTCACGCAAAGTGTGCTCTCTGACACGCCTGGCAGGCTGGTAGAATATGGGCTTACATTTCTGCCACAATTCTGCGCGCGAAAGATCATATTTTGAGAGCACAAAAGTGCATTTTGCACACGCGCGATCTGAGTTTGCGCAGAATTGTGGCAGAAATGTAAGCCCATAGTAGAAGAGGCCCTTTTCACCACAGACGAGCAGCAGCGCTTCCACGAGCTGAATCCCGCACAGCCTTCGATTCCCAAACGCGCCGCTATTGGTCACCAGAGAGCCTGCACACAGCGACAGCAGGAGCAGTCCAGATCTGTGCATTCTCCTTATGAGAAAACTTAACAGATCATGAAACGCAAAATAGCAACTCTTTCCTGTTTGGTAAGGTTGATTGTGCCCTGTCAAGAGTGAAAGTGTCGTCCAGCCCAGTAGTGCTGGGGTTATTGTCTCTTTCTCTCTCTGTTCTAATGGACTCTGCGTTTTATGAGGTTCCATCGGTGAGCTGAACAACTAGCCTCAATTAATCACCTTCAATCAGTACAAATAATTACCTCTATCAGCTCACCTCAGCCTTTCTCTTCCTGACCCCCTCTTTGTTTAATTACCCCTATTAAGCTTTATATAAACCGGTGCTGCTTTCATCTCTCTCTCTTTTTCTCTCTCTCCAACCCTCTGTCTTTTTCTCAATGTTGTCTGAATGCCAGCATAGCTGCACAAGCTTTTTTTGGTTCCTATTGTCTGGCCCTATTGGCTTTCTCCCTAATTAGAGCTCATGTTCTGAGGATAACTCTTGCAGTAAGTAGTATTATTTTTACATTATTAAAAAAGAAAGAATACAATATACAGCAAACCTGTGCCCACAGACAGGACCAAATGCACAATCATGGAGTTTTATTTGCAGTGTTGTGAATGAGTGAGAGGATGGGTGGGATTAGTTTAGGAAAACTCAAAGCTAAATCTGAGGCCTGTCAGATTACAAAGAGGAACATATGAAGACAGAGACACACTAAACACGTGCCGTTTGCAAGGAAACTCATCACATTTTTTAAATCTGTGCTTTTTAAAACCACAGAGGGTAAGTGCAGGAATATGAATGTGTCTCTAATATTCTATTCTTCACAAAAGTTAACATTTTATATTTGGTTGATTATTAATTATTAAGAATGCCTGTGGACGTGGAGAAGATTATTCAGTTTATCAAACAAGGCAACCAGGACAATGTTCAAATACATCTGGATGATTACAACACTGAGGTAAATACAATTTCAAGCACAATGCTGAATTTTAATTAAATATAATAAGGTTAATACTGTGCTTAATATGATCACTGCCAGAAAAAAAACTGTTAGAATCTACTACTACTTCTATAACACTCAGATATTAGCAGTTTCCATGACAACAGAACTGGGGTAAACCTGAAGGGTGTCTCTCATTACTTATCCAGTCATTTTACAATTTCTGCAGTGTGGTGAAGTTTTAATATGTCTAGCATTTGCAGAGCCTTCAAATCCTGCTGCCTCATATATTTCACCTTTTAATTCTCCCTTTGGTATTCACAGAACTCACAATGTTTCTTTTTGATGTAGAAGAAAGAGAGAGAAGAAAGGTAAATTCTAAAGTCTGTGCTAATGTTTGAGTGTTTATCTGTCTGCCCTCAATCCGAGGGCACACATGGCTTGGATTAACACAGCTAATAATGTAAATCTCACTCATCCACCTTCACTTATCTTTATCCCTCACTTCACACTCATCTCATTCATTTGGTGTAGGCTATATAATACTCACAAGCATGTTTTTAATCATGATTTCTCTCTTTTTGTCACATACTCATTATTCTCGGCTGAACTGAGAACAGCAAAGAGAGCTGGAAGAGGTAAATCTTTCACATGACCTACAGAAAAAGAGCAGGTATTTGCTGTAGATAAATAAAGAAGCGAGTGAGACGTCTGTGGGGAAGAAGAACAAGAGAGGTGTGTAATCTGAAACTAATATACTCCCCGTCTATCTCACCCTGGGGCCCCTGTACATACCGATACCCAGAGCGTCTGTGTCGGATGTGCCTGTAAACTCTTTTGAGCTCATTATTTTGTTGTTACTAAGCACCAATTATTGTGCCGTGTGTCAAAAAGATAATTTATTGCTTCTCATCAAGTATTGAGTACATGTACAGTAAAAAATGTTTTTTTATTGGTCTTATGGAGTATTCTAATTTGTTGAGATTGTGAATTGGTGGGTTTTTGTTAAATGTGAGCCAAAATCATCACAATTAAAAGAACCAAAGACTGAAACTACTTCAGTCTGTGTGCACTGAATTTATTTAATACACGAGTTTCACAATTTGAGTTGAATTACTGAAATAAATGAACTTTTCCACGACATTCTAATTTATTGAGATGCACCTGTATTCTAAGCGCACGCTCGTCTGCCGCTTTAAATTCTCGAGCTCTTTACAGCAGGATGGATTCTGATTGGCTGTCTTTTTTTTTTTTTATCGTTCATCAGCTGGAGAAAAATTGTTTTGAAAGTGATTCCAACGATATCGTTTTTCTTTGTCTTTATCGTTATAGTTGTGGTGTGGACTCTGCTATTCTTTAATATTGAGAACGATTTTTAGAATTATATCTTTATCGTTTTCTTTATAGTTATCTTGCTTGGTGTGAACGGGGCTTTACACTCTTCATGATGCCCGGGCTCACAAAATAAAGCTTTTATAAATTAAAGCTTTTGTAATCTCTCCTCTGTGTTGAAGGTTTGTACCAAAAGCCTTTAATAGTCTTCAGTGAACTTCAAAGTTCTGTTGTTTATATGTAAAGAAGCAGACCATGGTTTAAATCTGAATCTTGAGTTTGAAGGGCAGACACTGACTTCATTCTTTTCCATGTCACCTCTCATTATTGCAAAAGCTTATGTTTTTTGTTGTTTGCTTGTTTACCTCTCTTTCTCTTGTCTCTTGTGAATGTTTGTTCTTCTCCACTCAGTTCCGCAGGAATAAAGTGAGAGAGTATGTTCACCTCTGTCACCTCTCATTATTGCAAAAGCTTATGTTTTTTGTTGTTTGCTTGTTTACCTCTCTTTCTCTTGTCTCTTGTGAATGTTTGTTCTTCTCCACTCAGTTCCGCAGGAATAAAGTGAGAGAGTATGTTCCAGACTCTGACTCAGATTTGGACTCTGATGAGAATGAGAATCCAAATCTTGTTCTGCGGAGGGTGAGTCAAACTTCTTTCCAAAAAATTTTTAACAACTTCTTTCTTTACAACTTCGTTCATAAAATATGGCCAAAAGCACAACCCAGCACCACATCCATATATTCCAGTTAATTTTCCAAATTCAAAATTGAAGAGTTTTCTTCCTTCCTATCTATTGTTCCATCTATCTATCTATAGGCCCTAGTTAAAAATTACAGTTGAATTTCAGTTCCTTACATTCAAATCGGTCCAAAATAGTTAATTACATCTATCTATCTATCTATCTATCTATCGTTAAAAATTATAGTTGAATTTCAGTTCCTTACATTGACAATTAGAAAACTTGTCCACATATGTTTGGCCATGTTGTATTTGATTATATATTCCCATCAAATACAATGCTAAAACCTTTTTCCTCTCTGTCTCTTCCAGAGGCTTGCTGCAGCTCTGATCTGGTTCATTCGCATGTGGCTGCAGCCAGGAGTTTTGAGGGTGTGTCTGCGAACTCTGCGAATTATCTCGCGCGATCAAAAGGCCTTGGCACCCCTGATCACGGACAATGCCATTCTAACTCTTGCTCGACTTGGGGGCATCTCCGCCCTGCCTACCTGGCCTGAAGAAGAGGAGGCTGAGTGGGGCTCCTCCCACAGTGACATCACTCCTGAGAATGAGACAGAGACATGTCCGGATAATAATGGCAGCAATACACAACACACAACTTGTTACAGGGAGGGAGATGATTCAGTCTGTGTCTCTGCAGCCTGTGCTAAACCTTTGGTCAGTTAAGGAGGCTTGCAGTTCAACCCTGTGAATGTGACATCTAACTGTAATATTGGGAGAAAAACACAAAACGACCGCCATGAAGAAAACGTGAGGAAAGATGGGGTCTGTGGGCTGTTGACAAGAGGAAAGAGGGATGCTAGAGGAGAGAAGAATGAGGAGGGGGAGGAGGAGTATGATGATGGAGAGGTCTGGAGGATTGAGGCGATGAAGGCCCTGTGCAATGTAATCTACAATAGCCCGAAAGCACAAGAGAGAGCCAGCATCCTGAGGTGTGGCTCAAATTGTTACATGTGAAGTATTTGCCAAGTACGGTGTCAATAAATATTTCAATATCATTATAGAAAACTCACTCTCTCTCATTCTCTTGCGCTTTGTTTTCTTCACCAGGTTGCTCCATGGCCTGTCAGAGAGACTTAAAGATGGAATACATTCCTCCTCACCTCCAAGTGGTCAGTTTTATGAACTGCGACTTCTCTTTCTGTTGACTGCTTTACGGCCTGAGCTTAGGATAGAGCTCCGCCAGGTAACAATCAATGATACAAATATGGAATTAGGTATTGTTAGTGATACATACACTGTAAAAATACATTTTTCAAAGTTTATTGGATTGTTGGAGTACACATTTTTTCAGGCTAATGAACGCTTGGTGGACAGAAAGATGGAGCCGGGACTCCCCATTCAATTTTTTGGTAACACCTTAGAATACTTTTCCATCATTAATGAATAACTAAACAAGAACACATGAGTAATGCAATATTAGCACTCTAGTAACTACTAGTATCTAACAAGAAACTGATTATTGAATTATTAAGTAATAGTGCTTAGTCGAATGTGGTAGTTCACTATTAACTAATCAGTAACAAGAAACTCTGATTATTGAATTATTAAGTAATAGTGCTTAGTCGAATGTGGTAGTTCACTATTAACTAATCAGTAACTACTATTTTTTCACACCTCCCAGAACTACTAAGAACTACTGTATACAGGTTCATAATTGGATAATACATAATGTATAATTAATTCTAAAGTGAAGGTCACGGTAACCCACTAGTAATGACTCAAGTACTACCAAATTCTTCAGAAGGAATTACAAATTATTTGGATCAGTATTCCAAAGTGAAGATCATGATAACTCTTTAGTAATGACTGAAATCATTGTAAGCTTTTGAGGGTTCTGTAAAGTATTCATTTGGCTAGATTTGGTAACACTTAAATCATTATTAGTGGGTTACTGTAGAATTTCACTTTAGAATACTGATCCAAGTAATCAGTAGTTCCTTTAGTAAGATTTGGTAATACTTGAGTCATTACTAGTGGGTTACCATGATCTTCAATTTAGAATTAATTATACATTATGCACAATTCACATTCATTATGAACATGTATACAGTAGTTCTTAGTAGTTCTCCAGGATATATGAAAAAATAGTAGGCATAGTTATTGATTAGCTAATAGTGAACTACCAGTTTCAACTGAGCACTATTACTTACTAAATCATTAATCAGAGTTTCTTGTTAGGTACTAGTAGTTACTTCAGTGTTAATAGTGCATTA